TTTTTCCTCTTCTTTCTTCTTTTCCTTGAGCTCTGATCATCCAGTCATTGAAGCCAGGTCATGTGGGGTGTTCTTATGCATATGCCCTCTCTTCTTATCAGCTAGACGCTTCTCTCTCCACTCTAGTCCTCTGTGTCTATGTCACTGACTCTGGGCCCAGGAGTCCCCAGGTCTTGCCACACTGCTGGCCAAGCAGTTCTCCAGGTGTGTACTTTTTGTATAACTTTCAGAGATCAGTCCCTTGTCTGATGTATCACTACAAAAGCTTTTTTTTCCTAGTTTGTGGGCTCTCTCACTCTTTTGACAGAATGTTTTGATGCATATAACTGCCTAATTTTTAGTAGGTTCCCATCATCTCTTTTGTTTTCTACTGTGTGGTTTTTGACAGTGCATTTATGCCATATATCAGAGCTCCAAAATTTGTACCTTTTTTAAATTGATGATATTTATAGATTTAGGTTTTACACTTAGTTTTTTTAATCCATGTTGAGTTTGTTTTTCATGTGTAGTGTGAGATATAAGTCTTGGTTTATTTTTCTGCATATGGATTTCCTTTTTTGCCAGCATCATTTGCTGAATAGACTATCTCTTCCCCATTTAATGTGCATTGACCCTTTGTCAGAGATCAGCTAGCTGACTGTATGTGGATGGATTTACTTCCAGGTTCTCAATTCTGCTCCATTAATCTATGTGTCTTTTACTATACCAGACTAGGCTGTTTTAACCGCTGTGACTGTGTAGTAGATTTTGAGATCAGTAAATGAGAGGCCTCCAACTTTGCTCTTCTTAATTAATGCTTTGCTTATCTGTTGTGGCTTTCCCTTCCATATAATTTTATTGATTAGTTTTTCTTTCTCTTTAAAGAATGACATTGAAATCGGATTGAGATTACATTATATTTTATCACCATTTGACAGTTTGGTATTACACTATCTCCTCTTTTTGCTTTGTAGTTGACTTCATTTTAAGTTAATCTCTCTGGTTACCTGTTTACAGTCTTAAAGATTTGTTTTCTACGATCTTCTGTATAAAAGACCATTGAAGAATTGATGCATTTGCGTTATGGTATTGGAGAAGAATATTAAAAGTACCATGAATTGCCAAAAAATCAAACCAATTTGTGTTGGAAGAAGTACAGCCAGAATGCTCCTTAGAAGCCAGGATGGCCAGACTTCATCTCTCATACTCCATACAGATTGTCAGAGTGATCAGTCTCTGGATAAGGACATCATGCTTGGTAAAGCGGAGGGTCAGCGGGGGGGAAAAAGAGGAAGACCCCCCAATGAGATGGATTGTCATGGTGACAGCAGCAGTGGGCTCAAGTGTAGTAACGATTGTGAGATTGGCATAGGATAGGGCAAGGTTTCATTCTGTTGTGCATAAGTTAGCTGTGAGTTAGTGCTGACTCGACAGCACCTAAGAATAGGTTTGTTTTACTTTAAATACTTTTATATCAGGATTGAGTTTTGGATGGTGGTGGCATGTATATTAATCTCAGATTGTTGTCTGCTGTTGATGGCTCTCACCTCAAAGAACAGTCTTTAGTATTTTCTGTAAAGTTGGTCTGGTTATTACAAATTCTTTTAATTTGTTTATCTGAAAATGTCTTAATTTTCTTATTTTATTTGAGAGAGTACTGAATATCTGATTCTTGGTTGGGAATTTTTTTCTTTCAGACTTTTGTATATGTCATCCCACTGCCTTTTTGCCTGTATTTTTTTCTGCTGAGAAATCAGAGCTTTGTCATATTGGTTCTCCTTTATAGATAACTTTTCATTTATCCTGAGCTGCTCATTTTCATTGGTTTTGGTAAATTTGATTATATGTATTGGTGATAATCTTGTAGGATCTATTCTGTTTGGGGCTTATTCAGCTTCTTGTATGCTATTTCCTGATCTTTCTTGATGTTATGGAAGTTTTCTTCCAGTACCTCCTCGACAGTTTTCTCTGTGCTTTTTGTTGTGTCTTCCTGTTCTGGAATTCACATCACCCATATGTTATTCCTCTTCATGGTGACCCACAGAACCCTGACTGACATTATCTGCTCTCTGTCATTGTTCAGGTGGTATAGGAGGTACTGGCCCCTGCCCTGTGAGTAGACTTGTGGAGTATGGCTGTGGCTGTGTCCGTGGACATGGTTGATGTATGTTTTCAGGTGAGAAAGAGGAACCCCCTCTCTCCACACACACATACAGACAAGAAAACAAAACAGAATAAACATACAGCAACTAACAATGAAGAGACAAAATAATAAAAGAGAAAAAAATAAAGTGAAATAGGCAACAGCCAGGAAGAAAAAGAATAGATAACTAAAAAGAGAAAAGAAGAATAGGAAAATATAGCTATAGCAGAGAAAAATAAGAGAGAAAATAAAAGGAAGATTAAAAAAAAAAAACTTTAGAAAAAACAGGGAGCAGGAAGATGAAAAGAAAAGAGTACAGAGTAGTAAAGAAAGATCAAAAGAAAAAAAAAAGAATTGGGGAAATTAGAAACAAAAAACGAAAGAATACAAAAAGTATAAAATTCAAATGAATGTAAAGAGAAGGATTGTGGTAGTGGTCATAGTGGTGTGCCGTAGAGTTGGTTACGATGCATAGTGACCCCTATATAGGGTTTCCAAAGCTGTCAGAGCTCCTAAAGAGAAGGATAAGAAAGAATAAAGAAAAGCAACGTAATAACAAAAGGAAAACAACAACAACAACAAAAAGCAGAGCAGCTGCCAGCCATTCCTCACAAGGTAGATACGTATAGAAGGAATGTGACAGCAGAGTTCTTGCCCCTAGATGGTGTTCCTATAGGCCTAAGTATTATCTGTGTTCAGGGTACTCAATCTGGAAATAATCTGGAGGCCTTTGATGGATCTAGGTTCAGTGTCTGTTAGAACCCAGGGCAGCTGGGAGCAGAGTGGCTGTCTTTGAGAGTTTCTGTTACACTAATCCTGTTCTGGTGACTCTGTAGGTTCTATAGGTCTGGAGCCAAACCTGCCTTAATCTGGGTACCAACGTGGTGCAACTGGCCCCTGTCTCACACTGGCATGACTCCCAACTAAGTGCTTCTGAACTTCCAGAGAGCAGGGCCTGGGCTGGGAGTGGGTGAGGGGAGGAGCTGGCCATACATACCTCTGATCACTTCTCTGATCTTTCCTCTGAAGTTCAGGGTTCTAGGATTTTCATCTGTATTTGTTTCATTTGGTCTCTTGTATCTTTGTTGTGGCTGGATGTAGTGTATCTGGCTAGTCTGCCATCTTGCCGGAAGTCGGTTTTCCCTTAATCTTTCTCCAAATTATTTCAGTAACATGAACATAAACTCCCTGCCCCTTAAGCAAAACTTTCTTTCCTCCCATTCTTGATAACTACTACTAATTTTTGTTTTTTATGTATTTTCTTGTATCACATAAGGAGATCTTATTTTTTTCTTTTGCATTGTACTAACTTTGCTCAGCTTAATTTCTTCATGGTTCATCTATAGTTTGACATGTATGAGGACGTCATCTCTGTTTTTGGCTTAGCAATAGTCCATTGTAGGTTATACCACAGTTTGTTTATCCATTCAGCTATTGACAGACATTTTTATTGTTTCTGTCATTTGACTAGTGTGAAAAGGGTTGCAGTGTGAATTCTTGTCCATGTGTCTATATGTGTTACTGTTTTAAAATGTTAGCAGTAACCTATGAGTGAAATTGCTGTGTCATATTGTAGTTTTATGTCAACTTGTTTAGAAACCACAACACAGTTTTACACATAGTGGCTATACCATTTTATATTTTCTCCCAGCCAACACTGAAGGTTATTTCTTTACAACCTTGCCAACACTTACTGCTTTTTGTTTTGTTTTTAGTTATCATTGCCATTATAATATGGATTTACCTACCAGTAATTGAGCTCTTGTTGTTGTTGTTGTTGTTGTGTGCCGTGGAGTCGGTTCCGACTCATAGCGACTCTGTACAGGGTTCCCAAGGCTGTAAATCTTTACGGGAGCAGAAAGCCTCATCTTTTTCCTGTGGAATAGCTGGTGGTTTCGAACCGCTGACCTTGCGGTTCACAGCCCATTTCATAACCACTATGCTACCAGAGTTCCTTAATTGAGCTCTTAGTCTGTGCCAATTTATAGATACCATTCTTAAGACTTTGCTAGCAGGTAGCAACTTCCCTATTTTTTTCAGGTGAGAAACCTCAGGCTCAGAAGGGTAATTTTCTAACTTGGTAGAGCCAAAATCTAATTCCCAGTTATGTGGATTGTCTGTCAGCTTGTCACTTACAGCACAGCTATCTTGTGTTGCTGTAACATAAATATCACGAGGGACTGCTTTAACAGTCAGAAATGTATTTCATCATACTTTAGGAGGCTTTTTTTGGGGTCAGTGCTGGGAGCAAATCCTTGCCATCAGTCTTGCTTTGGGTCTAAGAGTTTCTCAGCAGAGCGGTCCCATAGCCAAAGATGCCCTCTGCTCCAGGCTCGTCTTTCTTGGTGGTGTGGTGGGAGGTTTCTCTTACCTGCTCCCTTTTCTATTATTTTATCTCTTGTAAGAAGAAAGGTGGTGATACATGCATCACCCTAAGGAAACTCCCCTTAGAGTGGATCAGGGTTGTGTGTTGCAGCCCACAGTAATCCCCTTACAACTTATTGGCTGACCACATCAGTTCACATGATGATGATGATGAATTATTACTTAACTGCCAAACCACTGAGAATCATGACCCCATCAAGGTGACATATTTAGAGGGGGCTGCAGTTCACTCCATGAGACAATAGTGGCTTCTCAGTCATTGGACAGAGCCTGGGCACGTGTACTAAGGTGTGATTCCAGGAAGAGAACTACTGGTGAGGAGGACATTTCTGGTCTCTCTTTTCTTTGTGGGTTCTCTGTTGTTATTCTGAGATGAGGAATCATTAATGCCTCCATATAAACCATCTTTGGAAAGTTGCTGAGGATACACTCCTACATGGGTAGATCTAGGGGTTTCCCAGAAGCTCAGCACAGATAATCTCTCTATTTGTAGGATGCCTGGATATTAATTCGTCTGTGAAAGGGGCTCGTTTTGTCCGGTTCTGTGATGCTTTCAACATTCCACTCATCACTTTTGTTGATGTCCCAGGATTTCTGCCTGGTAAGTCACTGACAGAGATGGGGACCAGCACAGGATCATTTGCACAGTGAGGCACCCACTTTATTTGGAGATCTCTGTATTCTGGGTGTCCAGCAGGCATGACTGTGAGGAGTGATCTTTCTCTGGCCCGTCAGAAAGGCAGTGGAAGACCTCACAAACTGAGTTCTAGGCAGTTCACACGCAGAATTCTGCGGGTATTAGTAACTTTCCCCTTATCATCTAGGCACAGCACAGGAGTATGGGGGCATCATCCGACATGGCGCCAAGCTGCTGTATGCATTTGCTGAGGCAACTGTCCCCAAGGTCACAGTCATCACCAGAAAGGTAAGGAACCTATTTTAGAGACAGTGACTGTGTTATTGTTGTTAAGTGCTGTCTAGTTGGTTCTGTCTCACGGCGACCCTGTATAAGGGTGTCCAAGGAGCTGCTGGTGAGTTTGAAGTGCTGATTTTGCGGCTCAAACTGACTTTGCCGTCTAGTGCGTATCCTACAGTAGTACACGAGGACTCAGAGTGATTGCTGGTTGTTGTGGTTCATTGCCGTGGAGTTGGTTCCAACTCATAGCAATCCTGTGTAGGGTTTCTGAGGAGTGGCTGGTGAACTTCAACTACTGGTCTTGTGGTTCAACTACCCTTGCAGTCCAGCGCATTAACCCATAGCGCCACACCAGAACTCCACGGTGACTGCAGTTACTTGGTCTGACTTTTCTAGCCATAGTCTTTGTAACTGACTGAGTGGTGGTTATGACTCATAGCAAACATGTATAGGGTGTCCGCGAGCAGCTGGTGGGTTTGAACTGCTGCCTTGAGGTTAGCAGTCCAGTGCTTATCCTATAGTACCACACCAAGGCCATGCATATAGGTTGTATGAAACTTTAACCTGGGGACTGATCAGTTTTGCCATTCCACTGGGTTTATGGAATATATGAAGTATGAATCTAGGAAAGTTGGAAATGGTCATAAATGAAGTGGAATGCATAAACATAAGTATCCTAAGCATTACTGAGCCCAAGTGAACTGGTGTTGGCTATTTTGAATCTGAAAATCACATGCCTGACTATGCCAGGAATAACATATTAAAGAGCATGAATGGCGTCACATTCATCATCATCAAAAAACAAACAAACCCTACAACAAACTTACCAAGATGTGTCTTGAACTACAACACTGTCAGTGATAGGATAGTGTCCATATATCCATATGCCTACAAGGAAGACCACTTAATACCACTATTGTTCAAATTTATGCAACAACCATTAAAGCCAGTGATGATGAAATTGAAGAAATCTACCAACTTCTTTAGTCTGAAATTGATCAAACATGCAATCAAGTTGTATTAATAAATTATTGGTGATTGGAATGCAGAGGCTGGGAAAAAAGAGGAAGGATTGGAAGGCTCAGTTGTTAGAAAATATGGCCTTAGTGATAGAAGCAGTGTTAGAGATCGTATAATAGAACTTTGCAAAACCAATGATTTCTTCATTGCAAATATCTTTTTTTTTTTAATCTTTTATGAATTATGTGATATTTTACATGAAAGAACAGTAGTTTTACATTTATCCTATCGTATATCGTTTCCTTGCCATGGTTATAATCCCCTCCATGCATCATCAACCAACCAAAGGGTATATCCTGCAAGCTTGCCTCCTGGTCAGCACACAGACCCTCTCCCTCTCTGGCTCTAGAGTCACCAGCCACTCCATCTCTCCACGCCATCATCTCTGCCTCCATCCCTGGCATCACTGCTTCTCTGGGTAGCTTCCCACACTCTGCTTTTCTCCCTTGATGGTCCCAGGGACCTCTGTTCCTGGACTGCAAAGTCAACCACTCCCCTCCTTTTGCTACAAAATGTCTACCTTTATACTTCCAACCCACACAATCAGTCCTGATAACAATTATTCACTATTGTATCACAATAGACCTATCCCCATCTCCTTTCATTAGCCCCGCCCAGACAGATTGAATACCACTCTAGTGAAGATTCTACCTTCCTCCATGACCTTTGGATTTAGGCTCCTTCTTGAAAGCTTGTAAGCCAGTTACTTCTTGCCTTTGTAGCACCACACCTCCATTTTGGGTAGCCAATGTCCAAGTTGCCCATCCCTGTCTACTCTGTGTATGGAGGGGGAGGGAATGATCCTTGCTGTAAGGATTTGTTCCCTCTTTTGAGCAACTGCATCTATAGGTGTAGGTCACATTCATCAAATTGTATCAGATTAGTCTTTTTTTCCTCTTCTTTCTTCTTTTCCTTGAGCTCTGATCATCCAGTCATTGAAGCCAGGTCAGGTGGGGTGTTCTTATGCATATGCTCTCTCTTCTATCAGCTAGATGCTTCACTCTCCACTCTAGTCCTCTGTGGCTATGTCACTGACTCTGGGCCCAAGAGTCCCCAGGTCTTGCCACACTGCTGGCCAACCAGGTCTCCACCCGGGTTCACAGAAGTCTATTGAATGTTGTAGGGCTTAGCTCGCAGTTTCATTGCTGTTTTTCCCTCACTTCCCCTTATTGGTGATGAATGTGGTCACCAATCTGAGCGCGTATTCCCAGTGAATCTTAGTCTTGGAAGGGGGTTTTTCCTAAGGGGACCTGACCACTTGCCTGGATGTCTCCTGGGTGAGCAACATGCTTGTTCTTGTAGTAGTCTTTCGGACTGCCTGTATCGTTTTGTATTTTTCCTGTTGATCTTTCTTTCAAGAAGTATCTTCTGTTCTTCTAGCCGCTCCAGGCTGGTCTGCTTGTCCTTTCAAGTGAAAGTTTCCCACCTCTGAAGATTCTGGATGAGGTTCAGGATTCCACCTATGATTTCATGTAATGAAGAGGCTCTGTAGGAAGCCTCCTTCATCGGGCATGTTTATTGTAGCTCCATTTTAGGTATTCCAATCAGTTATAGGCAGAAGACAGACTTATACGCTTTCTATGGTGATATTTGTTGCTATTCCTTTCACTCCCCATCAAGTGTCTATTTTATCATGGTATGCCAGGGAAACTAAGATTTGAAAGACAGCCAAGCATCTTAACATTATTTCCCCCCTTTTGCCCATTCCAACCATGTCTCACTCCCTGTATCCCAGAGCCCTGTTGTTCCAAGGTTGTGTATACATCATTATTTACCTCTCCCACTTAGCTCATGCAAACCTGCCTAATTGTTTTACCATCTGCCTTGTTCATCCATTCCCCTCTCCCTTCTTGTGTATTGCCTCCCTCCCCAGCACCCAAACTATCCTGTGTCTGTTCCCTACCCTGTGCTCCACCTTCCCCTCCCTCCCCTCACCCCACCCCCACATCTCGGTAACCAGCTAAGAATCGCCCCCCCTCCCTTTTAGTATGGATTCTTTTTTCTTAGTCTTTGACAGTAGTTGTTCTATGCAGCATTTTCCTCTTGTGACTGACCAATTTCACTCAACATAATGACCTCAAGGTTCATCCATGTTATGTGATAGCTTACAACTTTCTTGTTGTTCTTCAAGGAAGCATAGTATTCCGTTGTGTGCATGTACCACAGTTTATTTATCCATTCTTCCATTGATGGGCATTTAGGCTGTCTCCATCTTTTTGCTATTGTAAATAGTGCTGCTGTGAACATTGGTGTGCATATATCTACTCGTGTTATGGCTTATTGAAAATATCTTTTTAAAGCAACATAAAAACTACTGTAAACCAATGGAATACACAGAAATCTTATTGACTACATCTGTGGAAAGAGACAGTGGAAATGTTCTGTATCATCAGCCAAAATAAGGCCAGGGGCAGACCGTGAATTGCTCATATGCTAATGCAGGCTGAAGGTGAAGCAAATTAAAACAAATCCCTAAGAGCCAAAATATGACTTTGAACACATCACACTTGAATTTAGAGCTCATCTGAAGAACAAATTTGATGCATTAGACACTAAAGACTGAAGAACAGAAGAATTGTGGAATGAAGAAAATAAAAGGTCATTAAGAAGAGAAGAAAAAAAGAAAAGACCAAAATGGATGTCAGAAGAGACTCTGAAACTTGCTCTCCAGCCTAGAGATCCTAAAGCAAATGGAAGAAGTGAAGTAAAAGAGTTGAATAGAAAATTTCAAGTCAACTCTAGAAGACAGAGTTAAATATTGTAATGAAATGTGCAAAGACCTGGAGTTAGAAAACCAAAAGGAAATAACATTTTCATCATTTCTCATGCTGAGGGAACTGAAGAAAAAATTCAAACCTCGATTTAAAGTATTGAAGGTTTCTATGGGCAAAGTACTGAATGGAGTCCTGGTGTGGCACTGAAGGATAAGCACTAGACCACAAGGTCAGTTTGTACTGAATGTGGCTGTTCAAACCCACCAGCCACTCCTTGGAAACCTGTATAGGGTTAACAACGAAACAACAACAAAAACAACATGGACAAAATATGGAATGATGCAGAAAGCATCAAAAAAGATGGAAAGAATACAGAGTCACTGTACCAAAACGAAATGGTTGATGTTCAGTCATTTCAAGAGGTAGCCTATGATCAAGCACCAGTGGTATTGAAGGAAGAAGTCAAAGGTGCACTGAAGGCACTGGCAAAGAACAAGGTTCTGGAATTGATGGAATACAAATTGAAATCTTTCAATGAACTCATGCAGCACTGGAGTTCTCATCATCTATACCATCACTCATCATCTCATCATCTCTCACTCATCATCTGTACCAAGAAATTTAGAAGAGAAGTACCTGGCCAACTCACTGGAAAGATCCATATTTATTCTCATTCCAAAGAAATGTAACCCAACGAAATGCGGAAATCATTGGGCAATATCATTAATATTGCAAGCAAGTAAAACTTTGCTAAAGATAATTAAAAACGGCTGCAAGCATACATTGACAGAGAACTTCCAGAAGTTCAAGCCAGATTCAGTCGAAGATGTGGAATGACAGATATCATTGCTGATGTCAGATAGATCTTGGCTGGAAGCAGAGAATACCAAAAAGGGATTTGCCTCTGCTTTATTGACTATGCAAATGCTTTTGGATGTGTGGATCATGACAAGCTACGGACAATATTGCAGAGAATGAGTATTCCCGAACACTTAATTGTGCTCATGAGGAATCTGTACATATAGACCAAGAGGCCGTTATTCTAACAGAACAAGGAAACACCAAATGATTTCAGATTAAGAAAGGTGTGCACCAAGGTTGTATTCTTTCACCATACTTATTTGGTCTGTATGCTGAGCAAATCATCTGAGAAACTGGATTATATGAAGAAAAACATGGCATCAGGATTGGAGGAAGACTCATTAACAACCTGCAATATGTTGATGATTCACTCTTGCTTGCTGAAAGTGAAGAGGATTTAAAATACTTACTGAAGAAGATCAAAGATCACAGCCTTCACTATGGGTTGCATCTCACTGTAAAGAAACCCAAAATCCTCACCACTGGACCAATAAATAACATCAAGATAAATGGAAAAAAGACTGAAGTTGTCAAAGACTTCCTTTTGCTCAGATCAACTATCAACTCTCAAGGAAGCAGCAGTCAGGAAATGAAATGACATACCACATTAGGCAAATTTGCTGCACAAGACCTCTTTTAAAGATTTCAAGAGCAAAAATGTAAGTTTGAGTACTAAGGTGCTTCTGACCCCAACCATGGTATTTTCAATAACTTCATATGCATGTGAATGTTGGACAGTGAATAAGGAAGACCAAAGAAGAATTATGCATTTAAGTTGTGGTGTTACAGAAGAATTTTAAAAGTACTATGGACTGCCAAAAGAATGAACCAATCTGTGTTGCAAGAAATACAACCAAAATGCTTCTTGGAAGCCAGGATGTCCAGACTTCATCTTTCATACTTAGGACATATTGTCAGGAGGGACCAGTCCCTAGAGAAGGATATCATGTGTGGTAAAGTGGAGGGTGAGAGGAGTGGAAGACTTCCAATGAGATGGATTGGCACCGTGCCATCAGCAATGGGCTCAGGCTTAGCAACAAATGTGAGGTTGGCCCAGGACTGGACAGTGTTTCATTGTGTTGTGCATAGTGTCACTATGAGTTGGTACCAACTAGATAGCACCTAACAACAACAACAATTGAGTTTGTTAAAATAAACCATCTTAGAAATGGGAGAGGAGGGTCTCACGACCACCGAGGAAGAAGACTCAAGAGTGAAGTGTGTCCTTTGGATCCCAAGATCCTGCACTGCATCTCTTTGATCCAGGCGATGGCGGGCTGAAACAAGAGAAGCAGTGGCAGCAAAGCCAGACGCAAGAGACAGAGAGCAGAGCAGTAGACTTCCTGCCCATGGGGCAAGTAAAGCTGAGTGCCTTTGTGCAGGAGGCTTGCTGATGGTGTGGGGCTTCTCCAGACATTTAATACGGAAAGCTAAATTTGCTGACCTACTAACTTAGAGTTGAATGCCTTTGGGCTTAGGCTTATGGTGTATTGGCGTGCCCTTTGGGCATTTACTGGAGGTGATAAAGGAGTTTTGTAACACTTGCCAAAGCTGGACAGAGGCCAAGGGATCCATGTGACTAAGAGGTCCAGGACCAGGGAGTGTCCCTGTAGCCACTGATGAAAAGAGGCTGTCCTGACTGAAGAACTATATCCTGAGCAGTTCTGATTCTGAATTGTAGTCTGTTAGCTTCCCTAATAAATACCATAAGCATGAATTTTTTTCTGTGAGTTCTTTGTGGTCTTTGCCGTTGATTATCAAATCCCACAGAGAAGTAGAAAGTATTGTGGGAGGGGCAAGGTGGTGTCAGAATTGGTTTAGAAGGTTGGAGGGTGGAGGTGTGTCTGACTTCTGCCTCATAGAAATTGACTAAGGTCAGATGCTGATGGTGATTTGTCTCTTTACCTGTTGTGAAGTCAGAGGAGGCTAGACGCTGCCCTCATGCACTTTCTATCTCCGTGCTATACGCCATGGTTATAGGTCTAGCCCAGAGTTTTACCAGGAATGAAAGCAGGAGTGTACCTTGCTCTCACTCTTGAAAAGGTCTCTTGAGACAGCATTTCCAACCTTGCAGACATATCCATGATCTTTTAACAAAGGGAACTAAAGCAGCAGTGGGAAAAAGCCAGAAAAGACAGTGACATTCACTGTGGAAGACTTGGGGGTTCTGCCATGTATTCTTTGCTCTGGCTCCCTGACATTGCAGACATTGTGCTCAGGAGCTCTATTCTTAAGCTGTATGAGGGTCTGTCAGGGATTTGAACTGGTTGTCTCAGGATCTGATATTTAGAGTTTGGTTCTCTTTTAGGCCTATGGAGGTGCCTATGATGTCATGAGCTCTAAGCACCTTTGTGGTGACACCAATTATGCCTGGCCCACAGCAGAGATTGCAGTCATGGGAGCAAAGGTAAGGACCTCCAGCTTTCCTTTTTCTGAGATCAAGTGACTATGCTTTCCTAGCAGGAGTTCAAAGTACAGCTGGGAAATGCTGGCCAGAGGCTACTGCCCTGAGTATAGCCCAAAACTCAAGGGAGTTGGGTCCTTGTCTTGGCAAAGTTCTCTCTTGGGGACTGGGGCCAAATCTGCCTCTTGTCTCACTTCAGGCAGTGAGTCTTCGTGCTAAAGGTGAGTGGGAAGATGAAAAGAATGGAAAGAGGGGTGTGGTTGGCTGTGGGTATGAACCATTTAGCTCCGAGGGCCCCATACCACAGAACCGATATTTAGGAGTTGTAGCATGAAGACCCATCTTCCAGCTCCATACCCTTTACATTTGTAACTCAGTCTGTCCTGGGGCCACTGAAATTGATGATGAAAACTCTGGATAATCAAAAAGAAAACATTACTTTCATGTCCCTTGATGCAGAGGCCATAGATCTAGTAGTGGACAATATTGACCTCAAAGAAGACTGATGTGTGCAGACAGGGTAGGAAGGAATCTTTGCAGGAAAGCCAGTGACCACATCTTTGCCTGTGCTGCTGCTCATTGAGGCCACAGCTAAGTGTCCCAGCATGCAGCTCCAGGGTCATGGTGGTTGGCTCCAGGTTGTTCGTGACTTTGTGACCCTTCATCTGGAGCTGACACTTCTCTCCAAGACTTGGATCAGCCAACAAGTTTACAACCACAGTACACTTTGACCAAGAAGTTTGCAGCCTGCACAAGTGATAATGAATTTTAGTTTGCTCAGATTGGACCCTCTGGTGAAGTCTAATGATTCCTTTTGTGACAGGGTGCTGTGGAAATCATCTTCAAAGGGCATGAGAATGTGGAGGCTGCTCAGACAGAGTATATTGAGAAGTTTGCCAACCCTTTTCCTGCAGCATTGAGAGGTAAAGTATGGTGGGGAGGGTAGCTTTGTTCATGTTTGCCCCCTTTTTTTTTTTTTAACTTCAAATAGTCTCACATACCTTCCTTTACTATGTACATCAAATTGAATCTGAGGCATGTTGGAACTGACAATGGAACTTGTATATATTGCTTTGGTAATTGGAATCAAAACATTGCTTAAATGGCACAATTTCATTATCTGGTTGGTGGTTGTATGCCACCGAGTCAGTTCCGACTCATAGTGACCCTGGATCCTGGTTTCTGAGGTTCTAAATCTGTACAGGAGGAGAAAGCCTTGGAAACCCTGTGTAGGGTCACTATGAGACAGAACTGACTCCACGGTACTTAACAAAAACAACATTCCTAACAGAAAGGTAAAAACAGTAAGTGTGGGAGCTTGATCACATTGAAATATCAGCACTTCAGCAGTATGGCCCTCCATTCTCCCCTCCCCGACCCCATTTCATTGAAAACAGGATTGCCAGCATTGGCACCCTTCCTAGCCCCTCCTGTATAACAACAACAACAGTGCCATATAAAAATCACAGAGAAACGCAGCAGAACAACCAAATAAGCCTAGACCAAATTTAGAATTCCAGTGTTCAGTGTTTGTTCTGGGCTCAGCTGGTTGGTTGTTCTGTTGGTCTCATCTGGTGGGCTTTCTGGAGTTGGATGGTCCAGAATGGCATAGTGTACCTGCTTGGTGCTGGCTGTCAACGGGACTTCTTTCTCCAATGGTCTATAATCCTAAAGAGTTAGACCAGGACCCTCAGGGTGGTTGGAAAAGGATGGAAGAGAAGCTGCAAGGCCTCATGAGGTCTAGGTGTGGAACTTGTACAGGCTATTGTTGTGATTCCTATTGGCCAAACTATGTCACCACATCCGGTGAAGAAAGAAGCTCTACCTCTTGGTGGGAGGAGTGGCAAAGTCATATTGCAGGGGTGCTTGTGTCTAGGGATAGATGATTTGTAGTCTTTTTGAAAATAGAGATGTTGTTGTTGTTATGTGCCGTTGAGTCGTTTCCGACCCATAGCGACCCTGAACAGGGTTTCTGAGGCTGTAAATCTTTATGGGAGCAGAAAGCCTCATCTTTCTCTGATGGAGCAGCTGGTAGTTTCAAACTGCTGACCTTGTGGTTCACAGCCCGATTTGTAACCACTACATTAGAGTGGCAAAGTCAAATTGCAAGGATGCTTGTGTCCAGGGATAGCTGATTTGTAGTCTTTTTGAAAATAGTGATATGTTTTCTTAATTCCATTTTCTATTGAATTCATCTAGACATTGAAGCAAAGAAGAACAGGGAGGGGGTCTAATTTTCTCTTTATTGTCATGTGATCGTAAACCAGAAGGTGGGATCTGACAGAATAGGAGGCTGGAAAAGGGTTCACAGGACCTAGCCCCTCTCAACACCTGTGATGGTCAGATTGGGTCCTGCTCACAGTCAGCCCGGGGTTGGTGCCCTGTGCTCAGCACAAGGGTGGAGCGGGTGTTAATCTGCAGATGCACACAATCAGTCTCATTTTTTGCACTTCACCAGGGTTTGTTGATGACATCATCCAACCTTCTTCCACTCGTGCCCGAATCTGCTGTGATCTGGATGTTTTGGCCAGCAAGAAGGTGCAAAGGCCTTGGAGGAAACATGCCAATATTCCCCTGTAAACAAATCAAAGGAGAATGAACTAAGAACTAAATTACTGCCTGGTCATTACACCCCATCGCTGCCTTTTGTAATCATGAAGCTGGGAAGCTAAATACCAGTAATAACTTGAATTGACTAAGTTTATTAAATTCCAGATAGGTCTCCTTTGTACCGTACTATAAAATTATGTGCTTTATTACGAAAGGTTAATTGATGTTTTAAATGGTAAATTTAGTTTTATATGATAGATCTATGAAAAATCAGAAAGCTAGAAAGAAACTAGTATATGGTCTTGTAACCCAGAGCTAATGCTTATTGATTTGTGCGTATATTGTTCTCCTTCCCCTCCCAAGTTGTTTTCCTTTTATAGCTTGTAAGCCAGAATATTTATTAAATTGGGAATAACACCTTGGCCCTTAATTTCCCCTAAGAATCATTGTGTTATTACATGTTTAAAATTGTGTCTAGTGAAATAGTTAATCAAAAAGGTGTGGTACAGTAAGTTTAGTATCACTGAAGATTCTTGCCTCTGTGTCAATTGTGACACCTTGAGTTTTTAACCCTCTCTCTGCCTATGTTTATTAATTGGAACTCTGCTGTATGAATCAGTGGGTGGTGCAACTGGTTAGGGACTTGACTAACAACTTGAATCCATCCAGAAAGTACCTTGGATGAAAACACTGGTGAATGAATTCAAGAAGCTCACAGCCACTGAAAATACTATGGATGGAGTACGGTTCTACTCTGCCACATATGGCTTTGCTGGGAGTCAGATGCAACTTTTCAGCAGCTGCTTTGGATTTTGGCTTTATCCCTTAATTCTGACAAGAATTGTTGAGTATTTAACAATGTTTGCAATTCTGTGTGTGTGTCTAGCAGCACACGTCTCTAGGTTTGTGTTCCTCCAACCCACTCAGCTGCACCATGGAAGAAAGACCTGGTGACAAAAAAACCTACATGGTGCTCAGTTCTGTAACATGTAGTGTTGTCATTTGCCATGAGTTGGAATTAACTGAACGGCAGTGGGTTTATTCTTTTTTTCCAGGTGTGTAGTGGAATAGATGTTCAGAAAGGTGAAGTACAGTGATTTTAGTATCCACTGATGATTTTAGGTGGATTATAACATGTAGATCCGTTTTGGAAGAAGTGCAGCCAGAGTGCTCCTTGGAAGCCAAGATGGCCAAACTTTGTCTCTCATACTTCAGACATATTGTCAATCGCTGGAGAAGGATATCATGTTTGGTAAGGTGGAGGGTCAGAGAAAAAAAGCAAGATCCCCAATAAGATGGATTGGCCAAGTGGCAGCATCGATGGACTAAAGCGTGGCAACAGTAGTGAAGTTGGTCCAGGATCGGGCAGTGTTTTATTCTGCTGTGCGTAAGGTCGCTATGAGTCGGTGCTGACTCAATGGCACCTAACAACAGCAACATAACGTGTGGAGTTTCTAACTCTGTTGCTGTGTCTACATATATTAGTTGGAATTCTTCTATAAGGAAGGAATTTTTCTTTCCTGTTTTAAGTATCCGTTTGGACTCTTGGATATTTTTAAAATTCAGCCCATGATAAAACCATTTCTTGTTATGATGCTTCTATTTTCTTGGCAGCCAGTGAGAGCTCCTTCAAGTTGTCCTCTAGGTTCTTGTGAGTTTCAGTACTTTTTGAGCAATTGTTTTCATACAAAGGATGATGTTCCAAGTTCTTCTTTTCTTTTCTCAGTCCTGGAGTCAGATGTTCACAATGATATTTTGATACTGGACATTTTAGCAGACACAACTAGAAAATATTTATTTATGCATATGTGTTTATATCTATGTGGGGTATGTGTGTATATTATATATATATACATTTTAACCTCTGAATTGAGACTGATACTTTAAATTCCAGTCCAAAACTACAGGTTCTTTGCTCTCTGCATCCGATATTTTTATCTTTACAGTGGAAAAGCAGGAATATTGGCTCCCATTCTCCTCAATATATTTTACTTACTGTGGTGCTATAGGATAAGCACTGGACCACCAGGTCGGTTTGAACCTCAAGGCCAGCGGTTCAAACCCACCAGCTGCTTCTCAGAAACCTTAGACAGGGTTGCTGTTCAATTAACTGAATGGCAGTGGATTTATTCTTTTTTTCCAGGTGTGTAGTGGAATAGATGTTCAGAAAGGTGAAGTACAGTGATTTTAGTATCCACTGATGATTTTAGGTGGATTATAACATGTAGATCCGTTTTGGAAGAAGTGCAGCCAGAGTGCTCCTTGGAAGCACTTTACAATAAATACAGAAGAATTGCTACAACCAGACCACTATCAATAATAAACCTTCTCAAGTGAAGTACAGAACATTTTTTTTCTAGTTCTTTTTGTCTTTAAAAGAAGATACATGGTCAAGTTACTTGGATTTCTAATTGAGTGGTAATTTATCAATCTGATAGAGTTCAAGTCTTTGTTTTTATTTGTAGACAACAGAGGTTTCCCCATCCTTAGGTACTTTATTTTAGTGAGCATGTTAAGTATTAAGAGCTAAGTCAGGTCTGGAGATTTTGAGTAGTTTCAGCACATAGGCCAAGCCATGGCCTTCCATTCCAGAGTGCACCCCCTGGGGCTTCTCTCTCTCTCGTGAAGGCCCTGGGACCTGCAACCCCAGATAACATTCTCTTAGCTCCAAGTTAACCTGAATCAGTATGTGACTGTCCTCCATCTACTGTCCACCTGCAACCCTACAATTTCAGCTAGTCAGGCTCCCACCCTTGGAATTTTTTTTTTGTTTGAACTTTTTGACTTTGGGAAATTCCTTCTCTACAGTCTTTATCCTAATTGGATTCTGGGCCATTTTGCAACAGTCTCTCCACTGGTCTTCCTACTCTGTGCTCTCCTGCCTCCCTACTC